TAATTCCTACCTATGAAACTATTTGTTTATGAGATAAGTCATTAAACTATTTGTTTATGAGATAAGTCATTAAACTATTTGTTTATGAGATAAGTCATGAAACTATTTGTTTATGAGATAAGTCATGAAACTATTTGTTTATGAGATAAGTCAGTACATTTTTCGGAGTTTTCGGCTCGCGAATTATTCTGAGATTTGGATGAATCGCTTATATTTTGCATTTACTGGCTAATGAGAGCGCTGTTAATTAAAAATGTTCCCAACAGGCAGCTCTTTAGTTATCCATCGCACAAAGTTTACTGTTAGGACTAATAAGAATAATGAACTCTTTTTTTACATTTTACCTAGAAGAACCTCCTCGCTACCTACATGATCTCGTAATAGATAGGACCACTAGCAGGAATGTACATCACGTGCATAACCAAATATTTCAACAGAGTAAATGTAACAACGCATGTTCAGAATATTTTGATTCGAGTTCTTTTCTCCGAAACAAGGGAAGCTCAAATCCATAACCAACGGTAGATTTGTTTTGCCATTTTGAACTAGAGACACTTCCCTAGTCACACTTTAACAATAAAAGGATATTTAACTACCGTTTGTTTTGCCATTTTGAACTAGAGACACTTCCCTAGTGACACTTTAACAATAAAAGGATATTTAAGGTAGCTAAATATCCTTTTATTGTTAAAGTGTCACTAGGGAAGTGTCTCTAGTTCAAAATGGCAAAACAAACGGTAGTTAAATATCCTTTTACTGTTAAAGTGTCACTAGGAAAGTGTCTCTAGTTCAAAATGGCACAATAAATGGTAGTTAAATATCCTTTTATTGTTAAAGTGTCACTAGGGAAGTGTCTCTAGTTCAAAATAGCAAAACAAATGGTAGTTAAATATCCTTTTATTGTTACAATGTGACTAGGGAAGTGTCTATAGTTCAAAATATCTGTCATTTATTCATGCGTCGTGATATGCCCTATTGTTATTTTAAAAACTGCACTGAAAACTATAAATAATAGAACGTTACCCATACATTAAACATGATTACAAGGATAGAAGATACATCAACCCGCAGCCTGCAAGTGTCAACCTATATTACATTAAACATGATTAGAATGATAGAAGATACATCAACCCGCAGCCTGGAAGTCTCAACCTATGTTACATTAAACATGATTAGAAGTGTATAAGATACATCAATCCGCAGGCTGCAAGTGTCAACCTATATTACATTAAACATGATTAGAAAGATAGAAGATACATCAACCCGCAGCCTGCAAGTGTCAACCTATATTACAGTAAACATGATTAGAAGTATATCAGATACATTAACCCGCAGCCTGCAAGTGTCAACCTATGTTACATTAAACATGATTAGAAGTGTATAAGATACATCAACCCGCAGCCTGGAAGTGTCAACCTATATTACATTAAACATAATTAGAAGGGTAGAAGACACAACAACCCGCAGCCTGCATGTGCCAACCTATATTACATTAAACATAATTAGAAGGATAGAAGATACATCAGCCTGCAGTCTGGAAGTGTCAACCTATATTACATTAAACATGATTAGAAGTGTATAAGATACATCAACCCGCAGCCTGGAAGTGTCAACCTATATTACATTAAACATAATTAGAAGGATAGAAGATACATCAGCCTGCAGCCTGGAAGTGTCAACCTATATTACATTAAACATGATTAGAAGGATAGAAGATACATCAACCCGCAGCCTGGAAGTGTCAACCTATATTACATTAAACATAATTAGAAGTGTATAAGATACATCAACCCGCAGCCTGGAAGTGTCAACCTATATTACATTAAACATAATTAGAAGGATAGAAGATACATCAACCCGCAGCCTGGAAGTGTCAACCTATATTACAGTAAACATGATTAGAAGTATATAAGATACATCAACCCGCAGTCTGCAAGTGTCAACCTATATTACATTAAACATAATTAGAAGAATAGAAGATACATCAACCCGCAGCCTGCAAGTGTCAACCTATATTACATTAAACATGATTAGAAGGATAAGAAGATACATCAGCCCGCAGCCTGGAAGTGTCAACCTATATTACATTAAACATAATTAGAAGGATAGAAGATACATCAACCCGCAGCCTGCAAGTGTCAACCTATATTACATTAAACATGATTAGAAGGATATAAGATACATCAGCCCGCAGCCTGGAAGTGTCAACCTATATTACATTAAACATAATTAGAAGTGTATAAGATACATCAACCCGCAGCCTGCAAGTGTCAACCTATATTACAGTAAACATGATTAGAATGATAGAAGATACATCAACCCGCAGCCTGCAAGTGTCAACCTATATTACATTAAACATGATTAGAAGGATAGAAGATACATCAACCCGCAGCCTGGAAGTGTCAACCTATATTACATTAAACATGATTAGAATGATAGAAGATACATTAACCCGCAGCCTGCAAGTGTCAACCTATATTACATTAAACATAATTAGAAGGATAGAAGATACATCAACCCGCAGCCTGCAAGTGTCAACCTATATTACATTAAACATGATTAGAAGGATAGAAGATACATCAACCCGCAGCGTGCAAGTGTCAACCCAAATTTTATTATCTTGATTTTTAATCTCAACCCAATATAGAAAGAACTAATAATCAAATATTAAACCTATATTCAAAATCATCGTAATAAACTTCAATAAGTCTCCTAAAAACAGACCCAACCCACTTCTTTTAGTAAAAAAACGGGAGCTTTAGGTGTTGCTGCCTTATTTGCTTTTACAATAATCCTAATCAGTACGCGGAATGTGTATCACTGAAAATGTAGAGGCGATGCTTGTCAAAACCATGTGGGCGTGTCTCATTGTAAAGAAGATAAGTCGATCATTTTGATCAATCAAGTATATTAACACAAAGTATACCGTTAAATATCTGAAGGGCTCTATCCTTAATATATCGTCACATATTGCATTAGGACTAATGCAAACGACCTCACGTTAAGATCTAATATTTTCTACATTTCACACGATTAGTAACCAACAATTTAAAATGTAGGGTGCAGCACTAGAGGGTTACACCCACTTGCTGTGTGGAAGCTCTATCGTAATATTTGAACAAGGCTGTTGATTATGCGTCTTGCGTTTCAAGTCTCCTTTGCTTCTGTTTACATAAGTATATTACGCTTTGAAGGAGAAGAAACGCCATACCTTACATTGGGGCGTTTTGTTATAATATATAGAGTTAGAGGAGGAAGAAACACGAGGACCGAATCTAGCTCAAGAGCCGAACAGCCTCGAGCACTCGTTTGTTTTAGTCATCCAATCTAAATTAATATATGTCATGTTGCATAACAATTAGGAAAAGAAAACAAACTGACTGACAGCTCTCTATTTGGAAAATTCGGCACGACAAGCAACTTTTCATTGGAAAGAATTATAAAGACGAGTGTATTAAGATGAAAAAAAACAACACTTGAAACTTACTTTCCTGCGTAAAGACATTATAGAAATCTGTTAAGAGATATTCTCTCTCTAATGGAAATATTTGAACTGGTGAGAACTCGAACCAAAAGTTCTCAACTGGTCTTAGTGTTACTTTGTATCTTTTGTGACCTACAGGATGCTTTCTGGCAGGAAGTAGTAGTTTAATTGAATGTTTCACGTGTCACTAAAACTTCGTGAGTTAAGGTATTTTTGTTTTGATTTTCGTTTTGCTTCGTGACTCAGCATTTCACTTGAAGTCATCTAAGATGTGCATCTGACTCGTGTGTCACGTACTTTTAAACCTCATTTTCTCAACCAGAAAATTGAGTACTGATTTTTTCGTATTGGAAAACCTAAAATTTTGTTAACTTTACGCTGAAAAGCCTCTCTTGAACCGTTTTTTTTTCAACATTTTTTAAAACGTTATTATCATTCGTACTAATTAAATTTGTGGTCTGCAGCTGCTATGACAAATATGTTATTATTTACATATCAGTACAAAAGTGAAGCTCCTGGTTATCGCGTGACTGATGAAAATCGATATGTAATTAGATAAATTTGTTTATGTACCGTACAATATCAGAGTGAGAATACATGTGGATATATATATATATCTTTATATTTAATTATGTAATCTACGACATTATTTACAAAGTCTCACATTGGCTAAATTGTGTATTCGAATCAATATATCGATCTTTGATTGGATATAGACCATCCACTAGTTGTTGTTTAGCTTGTCTAACTGTAGCTCACTCCTCTGCGTTTTCTCTGTAGATATTCAAGTCCTGCTAGTAACGAAGGTCCTCACGGTTTACTGTGATGTGTGGTACGGAAACAGCCTCACCGATCCAACATGAGTGAGCTTTGCGTTCCCATAGCAACCGAGTCTTCTGCCAGCTCGGTTCCCTGCACTCCTGTAAAGACAATATTGAATGGCGAACTGAAGAATGATAAAAGACAAGCATGTAGTAAGGAAGATCTCCAACTTTTAGCTCGTTTAGAGGAACAAAATAGGTGAGTCTTATTTCTATCTAATTATGGCCTGTCTTCGATCCAATCTTGACAGTCCGTAAGCTTATCGGTCATCCTAATGGGTTTTGAATTAGTTTGATGTAAGAGAGTCATATTTCATGACCACCCTTCATGACCCGTAAGCTATTTTTACCGTATTTAGTTTAATATCTGAAGATAAGATAAAATACATTTGTTTTCTTACTTTTTTTCTATGCTACTTCTTCATTGTATTTCACGATTTGAAACTCGTTGATTCAAAAAAGTCCATGTTGGTGGTAGCTACTTTTAAGTTATGTTTTTTTATTATTATTATTACATGATATTTTCGCTTTTATTTGAGCTATTAGATATTATTTCAAATGAATTTTTAGTTGTAAAACCGTCCTTATTACTCGTTCAGACTAATCTAATTAACGTGGAAAACAGACTACATGGAAGTTATTTAAATAATGCCGGGCGTAGACTGGTGGTTTGTGTATTCGAATAGTGGATCGAGAGATTCGTTGTTCGCGTCCCAACCGTCTAGAAATATCTAGTATACGTAGCTTACAACAATACCCAAATTTAAATGGTAAAAAGCACCAGATCTACTCTAAGTCCTCAAAATGAAACAATAAAAAACTTTCCAATTGTCTTGCTACTCCCATGTTATAAGGACACAAGTCCATCAGAAGTTTTTACATGTATTATTCTCTTTCGGGGTACTTTATTTAATGGTTGGGAGAGGCCTAGTGATTAGCGTGGCATATATATATATTTTTTTCTAAATACACAGTCGTAATAGAACAAGAGTTAGGGTTGCATAAATTCGTTAAGTTTAGAAAATATAACTCGGAAGTTCATAGAATACAATACTATTCTGAGATAACTTAAATAATAAAATAAGAAATGAAAATATTGCAAACATCTGTGATATAATCTATTCTATTTCGTTATGCTTTATATTAAGTTCCTCTCTGTGAGGAAATCTTTTGAATGTGCAATTCTAGCGCTTCGCTAGCCTTCATTTAAAAGTGTAACTTGCGATACGTAAAGCCTTCTTTTTTATTATATCACCATTCTTCTAATTACTTATATAAGCCCCCCTGTGGCACAGCGGTATGTCTGCGGACTTACAACGCTAGAATCCGGGTTTCGATACCCGTGGTGGGCAGAGCACAGATAGCCCATTGTGTAGCTTTGTGCTTAATTACAAACAAACAAACTAATTACTTATGTTTCTGTAAAAAAAAATATACCGATTAAAAATTTACTAAACTATTAAATTAGTTTGGTAAAATGTATTTGCATATGGAAGCATGATTAATTATGCACATGCGCAGCCTAAAGTATGTTTGTTTGTGTAAATTATCGGTTTTTATGTTAATATCATATTTGTGTATCGAATATCAATCAATTAAGACTAAAATGGCTTAGTGGAAAAATCAAAATTTTCCATGTTTTTTTTTTTTTGCCATGTCAGTATTCACCGTTCTGTTTAGTATAATGTAATTAACTAGTTACTGATTAGTGAAATAACCAGTAAACACAGTTTTTTATTGTAAAAACACAAAACGCTTGTTGTAAAAATTTGGGACTCTTCAGTGTAATCTGTGTCGTAAATCAATTAAACGTAAGTAAATTAAATCGGAATTGCTGGGTCTGTTATACATGTCGATGATGTTAAACCTGGCTGTAAACCAGGCTTAACGAGAGACAGTATAGAACTATACTAACTGATTCATGTAAAAATCAAATTCTCAGTTGTATTTTATCAACGTACGTAGAAAATATAATAGCTTTCAGTTGAATTCTTCAGCTAATTAAATATTTTTTACTAACATACATTTTGCATACTAGGCTTAAAGCCACGGGCGCAAGGCTGACAAAGGTATTGTTCTTTTGAAGTGTTATGGGATATATTTTGAAATGATTCCTGACTATTTTATGCATTTGGGTGGGTGGAGTTGCATAGATAAGTGTCATGTACTGGAGAATAATGAAGTTTGAATACGTTCTTTAATTGGTTAATCACTTCAGGAGGCTTGCGCCCCTGGAGAACATTATCTTCAGTTATCAGTTATCCAGATGGATCATAATACAAAACAATTACTGAAAGCATAAAAGCTTAAAGGTATATGATCCTGTTCATTTTATTTTTTTACCAACGAACAATTTATAATATACTGTTGCGTCAGCGAGGTCACGTGACTAGTATTACGCCACCTCCTTCTAGAAATATCCTGTTCCTTCGTGAATTGTCGGGAGATTACTAGATTGGGGGTAGTCTGGTATATATAAGACCGGCCACGAGGCGACGGAAAGGTAACGAGTAATTGAACTGCAGTCAGAGAGTGTGTAATTGAACTGAGTATTGTTGAAGTCGAGCACGTGAGAAGTTCGTTGAGAATTATAGCGCGACTGTTGAAATTAAGTGTATCGCAAGGTTATATTCAGAAAGAATAAACCAGTTTTATTTAAGGGGGACTTGTGTCGCTGAAGTTTCGTCGGAACGAATTTACGGAAAATTAACTAATGAACGGAGACGTAACAATACGTTGACGCAAAGTATTACTTATAAGTTCCAACAGAAAACGAAACACCAATGTTTTGAAATTACCTTCCTGTCCATATCATGAATACCTCTGTTTAATAAAGCGATGCTTCATTTGGATGCATTATATTCAAATATATATACATATTTAGGCTTAAGTGAAATAGTCTGTCAGTTATATTAAAACATAGAATGGAGAAATATTCTTCATGAAAAATATTTGTAAATA